GTTGCCCAGAGTAGGGTGATCCCATCTCACTGCAACTGCCGCCTCCCAGGTCCAAGTGCTTCTCTTGCCTCAGCCTCTTGAGTAGCTGGGACTACAGGTGCATGCCACCAAGCCCAGCTATTGTTTGTATTTTTAGTAGAGACAGGGTTTCACCATGTTGACCAGGCTGGTCTCAAGCTCCTGACCTCAAATGATTTGCCCGCCTTGGCCTCCAAAAGTGCTTGGATTACAGGAGTGAACCACCGTGCCCGGCTTTATTTTTGCACTTTTCTAGTCATGTAGGATATATGAGATGTGTTTAATTTTTTTAATAAAATATATTTTTCCCTTTTCAACCGTGCTCCTTCTGTTATAAAATATTTTTTAAAAATTTGAAACACACATTTACCAGAATGTTTCAAGTTCAAAGCAGAGAATTGTTTATTCTCCAGAACCATTTGAGAGTACATTGATAATTTGATGTCATTTTTGTTTTGTTTTGTTTTACAAATCAGGACATTCTTCTACATATACACATCAAGAAGTATATTCCCTTAAAATCAGGAAATTAACGTTACTGCTATCAAATACTGAGAGCCCATTCAAATTATAGTGGTTGTCTAAATAATGTTCTTCATGCACAAGAGCCCAGGGAAGATAATGCATTGCATTTAATTGTCATGTCTCTTTAGTTTCATTCAGTCTGCAGTAGTTCCTCAGAGTTGACCTTCATGACACTGATGCTTTTGAAGATAGCGGGCCAGTTATTTTGTAGAATGATCCTCAGTTTGTGTTTGTATGCTATTTCCTTGTGATTAGATTGAGTTAATATATCTTTGCTGGAATATCCCACAAATAATGCTCCCCCCTCCATTTCATTCAATTAGGTGGCCCATGATTTTGATCTCTCTCACTATTGGTGATGTTAAGTTTAACCACTTGATGAATGAGTTGTCTGCTCGACTTCTCCCTTGTAAAGTTACTCTTTTCCTCTCTGTAAAAATGTTTTGTTGTCGCTGGGTTTTTTGGGGGTACACACATGGTCTTGCTCTGTCACCCAGGCTGGATTGTAGTGGCGTGATTTCAGTTCCCTGCATTCTCTGCCTCCTGGGCTCAAGCAGTTCTCCTACCTGAGTCTCTCAAGTAGCTGGGACTACAGATGTGCGCCACCACGCCTGGCAAATTTTTGTATTTTTGTAGACATGGGGTTTCACCATTTTGACCAGGCTGGTCTCAAACTCCTGAGCTCAAGCAGTCTGCCCTCCTCAACCTCCCAAATTGCTGGGATTAAAGGTGTGAACCACCGTGCCTGGCTGCTATAAAAAGTTTTTTGGGGGCTGGAGAGCAGAATGGTACTTGGAAACTATAACTACCCTGTTCCTTACAAAGTTTCTTTTTGAAAAAAATTACTGGCCAGACGTGGTAGCTCACGCCTGTAATCCCAGCACTTTGGGAGGCCAAGGCAGGTGAATCACCTAAGGTCAAGAGTTCGAGACCAGCCTGGCTAACCTGGTGAAACCCCATCTCTACTACAAATATAAAAAAAATTAGCCGGACATGGTGGCAGGCACCTATAATCCTTGGGAGCTGAGGCTGAGGTAGGAGAGTTGCTAAAACCTTGGGGGAAGAGGTTGCAGTAAGCCAAGATCATGCCACTGCACTCCAGCCTGGACGATAGAGCAAGACTCTGACTCAAAAAAAAAAAAAAAAACAGAAAGAAAAAGTTACTGTAATAGTTTATTCATTTAGTTTTGAATGGACTCATGATTGCCTTTTTTATTCAGTGAATTATACCTTATTATCACTTTTTTTTTTAATGTGGAAAAATGTAAATAACATAAAATTTTTTCTTTTTGTTTGTTGAGACAGGGTGTCACTATGTTGCCCAGGCTGGGTGAGCCCAGTCCTTCAACCTCAGCCTTTCAAGTAGCTGAGATTACAGCATACTCTACCACACCTGGCAAATTTATTATTTTGACCATTTTTTGTGTGTGTGTAGTTCACTGTCAATGAGTATATTCACAGTGTTGTCATCTGTTTTTTGATGTTCAAATTGTCTCAAATTTGACCAATAGGATCCCCCTTGAGATTTTCTCATCATTGTTTTAGCACTTCCTTGTTCTCTGGCAAAACATGATAGCCCAGGTTCATCTTTTACTTTAATCTGCCCCCCCCCCCGGGAATTAGTCACTTCTTAAAGGAGCATGGTATTTCAAAAACTTTTAAAGGGGAAATGTGGTTAACAAATGATGATTTCGTCATAGATAAATGTGTTGCTATATTGGGACTGTTTCCATTTCCTCCTGGTGGACAGAGCTAGGGAGTATGTGTTTGTGTGTGCGTGTGAACACACACACTTGGCATCTATATTTCTATATCTGTCTGTATATTTTGAATATGATCAGTTCACATCAGTGTATCTGGATTTAATCTAACTCCATAGGGTTCATTTTAGCTTTCTTCTTTTCTGTATTTATAGCACTTTATTCTGACAGTAAGAAACCTGTTTCTCATTATCTTTAACATCTTTGTTTCCATTATTATTGCTTCACTTATTTAATATTTCTGTCTCTGTATAACCAACTGCCTGTCTCTACCTTCCTTTCCACAGATATTCTTCTCCTGCTGTGGCTCTGATACTGCATGCTAGGTGGTTGTTCTGTAAGAACAGACTCCTCCTCATCCACTTTTGGGTTCAGATGTCAACATTTTATTGTAGGAGGTAGGACATGAGTAATAATTGTCAATGTTTTCTTTTTCTTGCAATTGCTTTTTGTAGCCCTGGATGCTCGCCTAGAAGTTGGACTTGAACAGCAAGCAGAACTCATGTTGAAAATGATGTCTACCCTGGAAGCAGATTCCATTTTACAGGCATTAACAAATACATCTCCTACGTGTAAGTAAAATTACCATTTTTAGAGTATTGAGGTGAATGATTCAATTCTTCATCATTTTCAGGTGGATTCATCAAGGACAGATTTTTAAATTCCATGATGTGAGTCTGAGGGGACTTAGTATGTAGCACTTTCCCGGCTCCAAGTTACCTGCAAGTTGAAAACTAAGACAAAGGATTAACAAATGCAGGGAGTGTCATGCAGAATACCTCCGTGTAGTGCTCTCAGTTCAGTGTAGAAACCTCCACTGTATTTTGTGGAGATTTTTTGTTTACTGTATTGTTGTAAGGTTAAAATTCCTATGGAAGCCTGCATACCTGCCTGTGAGTTCATTGCACTATTCCAAATTTATGATGAAATAGATTTTTTTATAGTAACATCTTTATCATCCTTAAAGACTAGGATAGAGGATATAGTGTAGGATGACAGCCAAATAGACCTGTTAACTGAACGCCAGAATTGAGAGGATTTACTACCTAATAACCTACAGAAAAGAAAGGCCAACTTTTTCGTAAAGGACTAATAGTAAATATTTTAGGCTTTGCTTGCCATATGGTGTGTACTGAAACTACTCAACTCTGACTTGGTTGCAGGAAAACAGCCATAGATGATATGTAAATGAATGGGCATGGCTGTGTTACAAGAAACAGGTAGCCTGCAAGAGCTGGCCATCCCGTTATGGTTTGCTTTCCTTGATGAGGTTTACGCAAGTCTGGAACTAGATAGACCTCAGGGGAGTACAGTTGAAATAGCACTGTGTTTTTCAAGGACAGATTGGGGAGCAGTGCTGAGAAGAGGGTGCTGGTTTTTGTTTTCTTAGGCCTGCATATTGCTTCACCTTCTCTAGGGCAGAGTGAAGAAGGGGTAGAGATAGTAGGTAGAACCCAATAAAATTACAGATACTTCTCTTATGGAGAATTCACAACCCATTTCAACAGAGAAATTAGAATTTTAAGATCTTCCTTATGTTAAATTGAATTCTTTCAGTCTGCAATCTTCATTTGTTTCTTGCTTTAGAGGGTATCAAAGGAAGGGAAAAAGGAAAAACAGAAGGAATGGTCTAGTGTTCTATAATCTTAGTATTGGTACACAAATATTCTTGTATCTTATCTCCCAGGCAATGTGGGGATCCCTTTTGTAGGGTCCAGTGTCTGCATGATTAGAGATAACTCAGTACTGCCCAAAGCAGCCCTTTTCTTTGTTAGACATTTCTTATTTAAAACTACTTATTAGAATATCTTTTTGTAATTCTACTGAAAGGATATTTGAAAAAAAAAAGAATAAAAAAGAAAATCTGTTTGAAATTGGTGTATCCTCTTTATAGTCTATCTTTTGATTATCCTCTGCACAGCTGTCTCTCTTTTTAGTATAATAATAAAATAAGGCTCTAAATATATGATAAAGCTCTTAGTGTCCTTGTATTTCTCTGGTTCCCATGAATATATTCTCATTTAATTAGTTTCGTATGTAACCTGGGCATCAGAACTTCTGAAAGCTCCCCAAATGATTCTAATCTATAGTCATTGTTAAAGATGATTAAATTAGAATCTAGATTATTCTAAAACTGCCTTATCAGTAATAGTCAGGAGTCTTATTTCTTTCCCTTTACTTTCCCTCCTTTATTAATTGGAAAAAAAAATGCAAATAAAAATTGCTAGAAAAGGTTCTTTGCCTTTTTTTATTGGTTGAGTCCTATGAACTTGGGAACTTCTCTCTTTGGTCATTGTCTTTTTTACTTTCAAGTAATGTTATAAAACCTCGTTTTTCAAATACTAAATACTGTTTTGAACCATTCTAAAGAATGCAGTTTTGATTTTTAAAAACAATTTAACCTATTTATACATATGAATAACCAGTTAACACATATCCTGATACTTTATGTATACAATTATACTTGTGTTTAATTTTCAGTATCACAGTCTCCCACTGGAACAGATGATTCCCTTCTAGGGGGTTTACAAGCAGCAAACCAAACCAGCCAGCTCATTATACAGTTATCATCTGTCCCAATGTTAAATGTTTGTTTCAACAAACTTTTTTCCATGCTTCAAGTCCATCATGTTCAGGTATGACTTCAGGAGAAATGGCGTATTTTTACATATTAACGTTAGCCTGGTAAAAAATGAAACTAACTGGGAAGTTCATTCTAAACCTGTCAGGGATGAGTTCTTTATTACATTCAGTTGGAAAAACATTAGAAATATTTTGATTACCGAAGTAATCACAGTTTCTCAATGATGGACCACTGATAATTTTAATGATTTTAAGCTTCAGTACTTTAATTCCTACTACGCATACACACACCTGTGATTTAGAGATGTGAATCACAGGGCATGGTAGTTTGAGTTTGTAGTCCTAGCTACTCAGGAGGCTGAGGCAGAAAGATTGCTTGAGGCCAGGAGTTCGAGACCAGCTCGGGCAGCAAAACACTAGATCCTGTCTCTAATAAAGTAAAAAAATTAACCAGGTGCAGTAGCACATACCTACAGTTCCAACTACTTGGGAGGCTGAGGTGGGAGGATGGCTTGAGGCCAGGAGTTCAAGATATAGCAGACCTGGTCTCAAAGAAAATAAAATGACTTGAATCACCTGTTTTAATTTAGAAGAACCTTTTTATGAGGTAGTTTATAAATTTTAATTCAGGTAAATTTTGTTTCTTCAAGAATTTTAAGATGTGTTTGCTGATCAACTAGTTAACTAGAAGATGCTTTTAAGTGTGAAGAAGAAGTGTTTAATAGAAAAGGTTATTTACTCATGACAAGAATTTAAACATAAGATTTTTGTTTAAATTGTGTTTCATAATATAATAGGTACATTTTTCTCCTGTCAATTTTCATTCTTTTTCAGTTGGAGTCACTTCTCCAATTGTGGCTCACACTGAGCCTGAATTCTAGTTCATCTGGAAACAAAGAAAATGGAGCAGACATATTTTTATATAATGCTAATAGAATACCTGTCATTTCATTAAATCAAGGTAAGATTTATTAGGAGAAAAATCATTATAGTCTAAATAACAAGCTTAAAAGGTAATTATTAGGTTAAAATATACCTAATCTTTGTCATTAAGTGTTATAACATTCTAGTGGGGAAAAAGCAGAATACCTTTTTAAAAAGATGCACTGACTTACTGATTAGCAGGAAAGATACAGGGAGACCTTGCTGAGAATAGAAGACTGTTACTCTCTGGTCTGTGGTATGCCTGTATGCAACTAAAATTTACAATGTTCTGTTACTCTTTTATATTTTCTTGAAGTTTTGTCTGATCTGTCAAAGCAGGTTGGTTTATTATTTTTCATTTTTTAAAACTGTGAGTTAGCCCCTGGAGGAATTAGTCAGCTGGAGAAACTTGTCAGTTTCCTGTAGAAGTTGTGTGTGTTTCTTGGCAAATATAAGAGTGTGGGAATGGTGGTAGTAAAATAATACAACAGGAAAAGAATTAGCCTTCAGCTCTAGCTACAGGAATCTATTTTAGTTATATTTAAAGAAAAATAAAAATGAGAATCTGTTCCTGATGCTTTCTTCCTTGAGTGGTGCATCCTGTAGCTTGCTTGGCTCTTACACAGTGAGTCTTCCAATGTTAGTGCCAGCCCCACTGGGTCATGGGTTCTACTTACATCTGCACTGTCTCAGCACCAGCCAACGCTTCTTTAATTGATAGGTTTCCATCTCTTCCACTATATTATTATTATTATAAAATTTGTTTTCATCTGTTTTTAATTTTATTATGAAAAATATTAAATATATATAAAAAACAAAAGAGTAAAAAACAGTTATTCCAGCCGGGCGCGGTGGCTCAAGCCTGTAATCCTAGCACTTTGGGAGGCCGAGACGGGTGGATCACGAGGTCAGGAGATTGAGACCATCCTGGCTAACACGGTGAAACCCTGCTACTAAAAAATACAAAAAACTAGCCGGGCGAGGTGGCGGGCGCCTGTAGTCCCAGCTACTCAGGAGGCTGAGGCAGGAGAATGGCATAAACCCG